TCACCAGCGGGATGTGATACTTTGTTAGGCTGAGTAAATCTGGCTTGCAGCTCTTTTTTAATTACTTGATGTGCAGTTGCTAAAGGAGTCTTTCCCTGGTGCAGGCTCAGCAGCAGATGCTATTTTGAGGTCTTGGCCTGATTTGACTGAAATTGGACAGTGGGTCAATAGCTTAGTATGTCCAAGGACATTTGGACACCACACACAGCTTCCTGTGGCCAGGTTTTGGATGGCTCCTGTTTGCAAGGGAGGCACAGGAGCAGGACCAAAGAGCAGAGGAAGCAGCTCTTCCCACTGCCTGGAGAGATGAGGGAAACTTTCGGCTGCCCTGTGTAGGTCCTTGCAGGAAGAGCCCCTGCTCACACCTCCAGAGAGTTTTGATCCTTGTTTTTAGCAGTCAGGGAAGATTGCATTATTTATTGACTTGGAGTTGAGCAGGAAGATAGAAAAACAGGCATTAAAAGCAAGGCAAACCTGCTAACCTTTCTGCAGGATGTYAGCATGGCAGTCTGTGCTGGCTGTGGGAATCTGCTTGGACAGTTAAAAATATCACCAGGATGAGAATCGTTTTTTGGTTTATCTTCTGTGTGTTGAACAAAAACAATTTCTGCAGTCATAGCCCCAAAACTTTGCGTGATTCCAGCTAACATGGGTACCCTGCTACATAACTGCAGCTGCTTTCAGGAGGGTTCCTCACAGGTATTTCCTCTTCAAGGTCGTCCCCAAGGTCGAGTTGTTTGCCAAGCTGCATCTCCCACGCACACTCGTGCTCCTCTCCTGAAATCAGCCCTTCTCTGCCTGTCTCTTCCCACTTCTCGCTGCTTCCTGATCTGCAGAGGATGAAGCATCTGCAAAGTCCTCTGTCGGGCAAGGCAACTCACACCTTTAAATGTTTGTGCCAATGAAATGGACCTTTTCTCTGAAGCCTCAGGTGCACAAGTGTGTTTTTCATTATTTGATGACTTCCAGCTTTTGATTCTCTCTGATGCTAAAAAGGAAACTGTGAATGTTGAAAGTATCATCATCTCTAGGCTTGCCAGAGATCTTCAAGGTTTACTTTAGGTCTTGGTTGAGGTGAGATCCTGGTGTTGARCATGGGTATTTCTCTCAAGGCTTTGCTGGGTGCTAGAGCTGAAGGAGGATTAGCCAAAACAAACCTGCAGTCTGCTGTGGTGTGATGGTAAATGGTGTTCTTCTACTCCTGATTTTACAAGGCTATTMATCCAGGTTCCTTATCCCTAGACTGGGATTTTGCTAAACTGAAGATGAAACACAATTGGAAGTGGATTATCAGAGCTTTGTGTCCCTGCTCATCTTCAGTAGGCAGCAGGTGAATGTAATGCTGCTGCTTGTGTCCTCAAGGGCAGTATTTTCAGAATGCAGAGAAAACAGTGTTTCTTGGGGTCTTTCTTCAGCTTTTTTTGATGCCAGCAGTGTTGTCTGAGCTGATATTGGACATGATCCCCATTCTGCTCCCAGCTGGTCCATGCCACGGTCGATGCTGTGATACACAGAGGCACTGTGAAACCATGAAGCACTCAGAAGCAAATTCCTTCTCCTTAATCTTTCCTTCCTTCCACGAGAAGGCTGGAGTTTGTGTTTCTGTTCAGGGGAGCTGATGGAGAGGTGATAGAGGCACTGGGTTCTCTGGYCACTGCATGTTTGCAGCAGAGACATTGGAGAATCCTCTGGTCCTCTGTACCCTTGCTCCTCCAGGAGAGAAATAAATACAATATYGAGCTTCCCAACTTGGACAGGAAACTACTGAGCCCACATTAATGTGGAGAAGGGAAAAGGAAAARATGTTACCAAATATGTCACCCCCTGCGCAGGCAGGGGCGACTCCTGCTGGTGTGCAGGACTGAGTCCTGCCTCCCCAGCCCATCCTGCACTGTCCCTGAGCTGCTGCCCTGTGACAGAGCAGCTCCCTGCTGGCCCTGCTCCACTGTGCCATTTGTCTGTCCTGTCCCAAATGATGGGAGAAAACCCCTCGAGTAAAGCCATTCCATCCCAGTGAACCCAAGACCTTTCTGGTCGTTTTCTGCTGGGAGATGTGGGGCACAGACCGTCAGTATTTTCTTGCAGGTCATYGAATTTAATTATTTTCTTTCGAAACTCGCAGTCTTGGCTGTTTGCACAGCACAAACCTCCCTGGCTTCTTTGAACTGAGGCAAGTTTGAGGGTACTCAGCTGAGMGAGTAATTAACCCCAGTGTCAAGGATGCTTTGGCATGGCTCTTCCTGCACACCTTCCAGCCATGGAAATTGTTCCTCTCACAAGCTGATAGCCTGCTAACAGTCATTTCTCATATCCCTCTCAGAGCACTCCAGCTTGAAAATGAGAAGGTGAGAGGARGATTTTCCCCCGGTGCAGGAGAATGCATTTCTGCACCCCTGGGGACWGACTTAGCAGACTTATCCCAGAAAGGGACTGGAAGTCATAGTTTTTTTGTTGTTTGTGGGCTTTTTGTCATTGTTGTGTTTTTCTGAATGGGGGCTTTATTACAATTTGTAACAGGTGGGTGAAGTTGTCCTTTGGTGAGTGGAAAGTTCACCCTGCTGGATTTCACCAAGGGGTTGGCACAAGCCCTCCAGGTTTCCTGGCTTTGATCTTTGATCCCATCCTGGGTTTCCCCTGAAACATTTGCCCCTTGGCAGGGACACAAGCACACCGTGGGCTTGCCTGGCCAGCAGCCTCCTTCAGTGAAAGCCTTGCTCTGCATCCTGGTGAAACTTAAAGCCTCTCTAATGGAGAAACTTCACAGTGACAGCCTTTTTGTGTAAGGTCTGGCATAAAAGCAAACAGTTAAATAACTCTCCTGGGTGTCTTTTCTTATTGGTTTAAATCTTCTGCATGATACTTTCAAAATATGCCCTTTTCTGTGTTAATGGAAAAGGATGAAGAATCATTCTTTTGCTCAGCTGTCCTGGTGTGATAGATCTCTGCCCAATATCCCTGCAATGACTTATTTTCCAAGCTGAGGAATCCTCAAAGGCAATGTTGTTTACCTAGATGTTTAAAGAGGCATAAAAGCAAATTCTTTCTAGGTCTGTGCTACAGATGCTGCAGAGGACTGTGTGTTGTGCTACCACAGGTGATGAAAAATGCATTTGCTCTGCTCTGAAGCTGATAATGGCTCGAGTCAGGATGGTTCTTTTAAGTCCCAGGAAACATCTGAGGTGCCTGTGTGAGCTGAGTGCTCGCTTAGGTAAGGRGGGGTCCAAGCCAGCAGCACGTCTTCTACCCGCTGCTAAAGGCACCCTGTCCCTGGGATGAAGGACTTCTGTGCTTGGAAGCCATTCCAATGCAGGGATTTTGCTGTCTGCCAACACCAAACGGGCTGAGTGTCCCTGAGATGGTGGCAGGGGGATGTGGGGTGACTCTGTGGCAGCAGGCAGGAGCCCTGGCCCTGCCTCMAGACCGCCTCGCTGCCTCCGAGGCTTCTGCTGTTGTCATTGAGCCCGCTTCCTCTTGCTGCACATCGCCTTCCCACTGGGAGGATTGAKCCAAAAAGCCAAAGCAAGAATTGACAAAGACCTTTTCTCCCCCTCCCTCTGCAGAATTAAGTCTGAAGTGGGTTGATAACGGCGGATCGAGTCCTCCTTGACTCTGACAAATGTCTTTAATGTTATTCAGCAAGCTGACCTTTTCCCGTCTTTATTGTGCGTCTTCCCTTTGAATCAGATTTGATTGTTACTTCGGGTAGAATAACAAACACTGTCACGTAAATAACTTTGCAATAATGTTAAAAGGAGGGGAAAAAAAAAAAAAACCCACAAACAAACAAAACACCAAAGCGCTGCCTCACTTKCAAATGCGATGGGAGCGCGTATCCTCCGTGCCAGCCGTGGAAAACTGGCTGTGTGACCTTCCCACACAACATCTCTGCCTTGCTACTCCAGGGAATGATCTCCTGAGTTGAAAAACCAACAGAGAAATAATGGTTCACGGAAATGTTAATGACAGCTAATGCTAACTAGGGCTGGTAAATTCTAAGGGAGGGAGAAAAGGTCATGGAAATCCTTAAAATGCACCTAGATGTGTGACCCGTTGGGAGTTGTGGGCATTTGAAGCCTAGATACCCTCTGAATATTTGAGACTGGTCTTACAGAAGACAGTGTTTAGGCCTTGGTTGAGWTGTTCAGCCTCGGAGCCTGCCCTGAAGTGGCAATGATCAAGGTTATATTGTTTTTCTAGCCCACCTCTTCCTCAGCAGGGTTCAGGGGCAGCCTGATCTCATGGGGSTACTGTGAGGCTCAGTTTGGCAATGTGTGCTACAGCTCTTCAGTGTGGAGGGAGGAACCCTCTGTTCCAGGGCATGTCTGTGTGGCCAAAGTCTCTGGTCTCACTTGTACAAGTGAGGGCAAAGAAACGAAAAAGTATTTAATGTCTGCCTTGTTCTGAAACCTGCAGTGCTGGTGCGTCATGGGCAGTGTCTGTGCTGCTCCAGCTCCTATGGAAGGTGCTGGCATCCAGCTTTGAGAGTGAATTTGTGAAATGGCACACTGGAGACTCAGGTGGGTGGGAAGGGGAAGAATTAAACTGTGAGAGTGCAAGCACAGAGCCATTGCAAAGAGCAAAGGTGCTTTGTAAGATACGGGGAGCATTTAGAGTTTCCAGCCTGGCTGGTGGGGTTTTCATGGTTTCAGAAGTGTGCTGTCTCCAGAGCTGGCTTGGACAAAAGAAATGGGACCTCAGGGAATAGTTCAGAGAAAGCCAGCCTGTGGCAGGCAGGGAGTGGTGCCCTGTTCCAAGTCTACTGCGGCACCGAAGCAGAGAAAGGATATTTCATTATTAAGCATTATCTTCACAGTAAGTTTTATTTCTGTGCATAACTCCATTTCCTGTACTCTAATCAACATTTTATTCTTTTCCCTTTATAGCACGAGGCCTGTTTGAGCCTTGGCTGGCATCTGAGGTGCCACAGCCACGCTGGGCAGCTGTTCCCTGCACATCAGCCATGCTCACAGCGTGTCCCTGCCCTCTGCTTCTCCCTGCAGATTCCCCCGTGCACRCCAGCTCCACGTCGGTGAGCCTGTCCTCAGGCCTTTCCACAGGGAATCCCGTGGAGGGGCCCCACAGCTACCTCGAGGCCCCTGCCAACCCCACACGGGCACTGCCGTCCCCCATGAACGCCATCGGCTCCCCGGTGAACAGCCTGGGCTCACCCTACAGGGTCATCGCCTCCTCGCTGGGCTCGCACCCCGTCGCTCTGTCCTCGGCCCCGGGCATGAATTTCGTGACGCACGCCAGTCCACAGGTGGGGATGTGCACGCTTGATTCTSTCCAATTCACTGCTCAGRCTGGKTAAWGTCCCARAACTYGAGAGAGAAGACTGGTGCACACTTGMTTCTSTCCAATYCACTGTTCAGGSTGGRTAAAGTCYCAAAACTYGRGAGAAAAGATTGGTGCACACTTGCTTCTGTCCAATCCACTGCTCAGGCTGGGCAAAATCCCAGAATTTGAGAGTGAAGTTTGGCTGGTGGCGAGTCTGGTGTGTTTTGGCCTCTCAGGGAGCTCCGCTGTAAAAGGCATTTTCTAGAATGTGAATCTGTCTGCATAAATCACCTCGCACAGACACAGAGACCACACTGGTGTCTGTTTCCAAATACCCTCCACAATAAGGGAGGAGAGGAATTTCCCAGGTCTTTTCTCACTGTGGGTGCAGCCCAGCTCCCCTCCACWGCATCCATTGCAGTGTGTGATTATTGGACATGGAGACAGGATAGCCAAGGGCTGCAGCATGTGAAACATTCCCCTCCTTCCTGCAGAAGCGTATCTGCTYCGTTTCATTACCTGGAAAGGAGGCAGGCTTTCCAGGGAGGGACAAATGTTAATGCTAAATGCCAGCYACCTCCTGTGTTGATATCAACTTGGCCTGAAGCAAAATGAAGCACTCCCATCCTCACTGCTGTGCTCATGTGGCTGCTGAGGTTTCCCTTCCAGACAGGGGGAGACCCAGGAGTTAGGGCTGCTGCCTTCCCAGAGCTCTGGGTGGGTTGGGAACCTCTCAGGGTGGCTCTGTGGGACAGGGACGTGTTGCTCCAAAAGCTCTGGCATAGCTGGGACTGAGGTGGCTGTGTGGAATTTTGACAAAATGCTCAGGAGTTCTGGGAGTCCAGATCTAAATGAAAATTCTGCCACTTAGGAGCCAGATTTTGAGTTTTGTTGGTGGAGCCTGAAGGTAGGAAGTGCTGAGAAGCCTCCTGGCTACTGCTGAAGGAGCAGCAAGGACACGAGCCCTCTCTAACCCATACTCCTTGGAATGTTGGAAGCTTTTCTTAGTGTCTGGCAGGCTGGGAGATTCTGGAATGGGGAGGCCCCTGAAGAGCTCTGAAAGAGGATGAGGTCTGGTGTGGGCCCTGGCTGGTAGCAGTGGGAACGCTGGGCATCCCTCTTCCCCTTGCACCACCCCTCTGATGGTATTTGTGCCCGTTCCATCAAGGACAGGATGGCTGGACAGGAACCTGTGGCAGTTCTGCTTGGTTGGAAGCCTTTCCTTTGGGCTTGGGGATGCTCTGGGAAGTGGTTTCCCCAGTCTGGGCGCTGCTCCAAGTTCCCAGATCCRAGGAGAGGTTTCCATTTGTGTTGCCTCTAATGCAAGGAGACAGCTGGGCCCTGGGGATTCAGCAGGGAGGCAGCTAATGGATTTGGGGTCAACCAGTTGTCCCAGATATCATACATGATTGCACTTAACCTGCAGGAGTCAMGCTCTGAGGACACTGATGGCTAAARCTGCCCTGTGCATCCCCCTTCCATGTGTCCTCTCTCCCTTTTATTGTCTCAAAGTGCAGACAGGGAGAAAGAAAAGGTGCTACCTGAGTTCTGAGAGACATTTTAAACCATAAAAAGTTTCTCCTGGCTCAGCATTTTGCCAAGGTGATGGACACTTGTCAGGGGGGAAAGGGTTTATTTCTCCTTTCCTTGGATTGGATTTTGAAGCACAAGGATTTACAGTTGCCAGTGCCTGGTTTGAGTCTGCCAGGGAGAGGGAATCTCTGTTCTTCTTGGCTTTTATTTTCCAGTGGAACAAAACAACCTGGCTCCTAGTTTTTGCTGGATAATTTTTATTTTCCATGTTATTGGAACTTCGAAGCTTTGAAAATGAAGGGACAGCAGAAAGGGAAGATGAAAACAGGCTTCAYCTTTTTATTTTTCTAGTAACAGGTCCAAAAATCCCAGTGGGATGACTCCATGTTCTTTACTGAAATTTACTGTGGAAATTATTACACTTTTTCATGGGCAATGGGCAGTTCTTGGAGCAAATGGAGAACTTGCAGCACTATGCATGGAAATTACTGTTTTAAATGTTATGGGGGTTGGAATGAAGGCTGCAGCTGAGTCTTCATCCAAAGCCTTGGATTCTGCCTTCTTGCTGGGAAGAAGAATTCGAGCTGATAAATTGGGATGACTGCTACAAATGAAGCCAGTGATGAAACAACCACCCCCAGCCCTCAACCCATGGCAGCAGGGAAGGTGATTCGATGGTGGCTTTGGGGAGACATTGCTCTGCCCAGACAGCYTTTGACAAGACGTGCTCGATGGCCCTTAATCCTGCCTGCCCTGGCTCCAGAGCAAACAGCAATAAAGCGAAGCCCTGGGCAACATCAGGCTTTGGTCTCTAATCGATGTGGGTTTGTAACCTTTAACTTGAGCAGCCATGAGCAGCTCCTGGGGATCTCGGCTGGGGGCTCGGCGGCGTTTGCCTGCATTGACAGCTGCTGGTTTTCAGATGCTCAGCCCAATCCCCCCTTTTTTTAAAAAAAAAAAATCTGATAACCCCAAATCTGCCACCTGTGATAGTGTTTAGGAACCGAAGGGAGTCACTCCCAGGGAGTGACCAAATAGTTTTGATGTGGTTATGCAGATATCATGAGTCAGGGAAGCTAACCCACTTGATTTTTTTTTTTTTTAACACTATTGCAGCTCCCCTAGTCATGCAGCAGTGCAGGTTTAATTGCTACAAATCACCTGCAAAGCTGTTCTTTACTAAGCTGCTAGTGCTTGAGGTGGCCAGCATCCCCTAAGGAATCAGGCAGGATCCCACCAGCCCCATGGCTTGGAGGCTGTAACTGAGCAGCTGAGGTTGCTGCCTGCTCTTTTGCAGCTCTGCTTAGTCCTGGCTTTGGTTACAACATCAGGCAATATCTGCTTTAGTGCCTGCTTAAACCCCTCCAGCTGGATTCACCAGAGGATGTCTGCCTGCCCATGGCAGCCCCATGGGGTTGCTGGGGATCAGCTTGCAGGACAAGCCCAGCAGGAGCAGAAAGGGGAGGGTCAGCTCCATTTGGAGATGGTTTCATTGAGATATGAATCAACCCTCTAACCTGTCCTGTGGCTTCTGCAGCTCAATGTCCTGAACAATGTCAGCAGCTCGGAGGATGTCAAGCCCCTGCCGGGTCTCCCGGGGATCGGGAACATGAATTATCCATCTACAAGTCCGGGATCCCTAGCCAAACACATCTGTGCCATCTGTGGGGACAGGTCCTCAGGTAGGAGGTTTCCTTTCTTGGGGAAGGCTTTGTGCAGTGAGAACTCCCCTGGTGCTCTGGAGCAAGGCTTGTGCAGGGCTGAGCAGTGTGGAGGCTGGCTGGGGCCGTACTGACACTGCAGGATTCACAGCTGGCTCTGGCTGTACTGCACAGTAGTGTCACCTCCCAAAAGAGAGCAAACCTAAAAGCCACCTTCTTCTCTCTTATGTGCATAATCTCATTTTACCTTTTGTCCCTGCTCATCAAAAGGCAATGTGTCCAAACCTCTCTGTTTTTTACCAGTGCTTTGTGTTGGCCAGGTTCTGGTTGGGTCTGGGTTTTCCCTCATGCCCCAGTGTGCCTTGCAGACCCCTCCACATCAGTGCAGCCCATGTGCTGCCCGTGACTATTTCACACTTGCCCTGCAGCTGGGATGCTCCACATCATTCCTCAGGGATGCTCCACACCATTCCTCTGCAGTTCCTCTTATCACAGGAAAACAATGTTCCTGCAGTTTGACTGGTCACTAACACCCTCAGTCAATTTTTCCACCTCTGGGTTTGGTTCAAGCTCCTCCACTCTGGAAGGAAGGGCAAATCCCTGCTTGCCTGTTGATTCCCTTGCCTCCCCAGGGAAGCACTACGGGGTGTACAGCTGTGAGGGCTGCAAAGGCTTCTTCAAGAGGACGATCCGCAAGGATCTGATCTACACGTGCCGGGACAACAAGGACTGCCTGATCGACAAGCGCCAACGCAACCGCTGCCAGTACTGCCGCTATCAGAAGTGCCTGGCCATGGGAATGAAGAGGGAAGGTACCACTGGGCTGGGGGAAGGAATGGGCTTGGAGGGATTTTCCTTCATTCAGGATCTTAGTGGCCCTCTGGTGCATTCTGAAAAGCTGGACATGGATAGCTCCAGGGTGTTTTGGACCTCGTTAGGTAAAGGAAATGAGAATCGTAGTTTAGGCTGGAAAAGACTTTTAAGATCAAGACCAACCACTATGGCTGGAAAAGACTTTAAGATCAAGACCAACCACTATCTAAAGCCCAGCTATGCAGATTCCATCACTAAACCCTGTCCCTAAGTGCCACATTTACCTATCTTTTAAATACCTCCAGGGGTTGTGACTCAGCCTTGAGCAGCCTGTTCAGATGTTTGACAGCCCTTTCCATGAATTTTTCCTGATAAGGAGAGGGGCTAATAAGGGAAGAGCCTGATGGGGAAGCTATTACACTGTGTTCTCCTTCCCACCTAAACACACGTATTGGTAACTATGGAACCAATTGACTCATTTTGACCCAACTTGCATGCAATTAGTGACCCTTAATGGTTTGGACCCCTGTGGACAGCACCCAGCAGTGAGGGGTTCTGCACCCTTCTTGTCTCCTTTGCTTTTGATTTGCTGATTCATTTGTCACCACCTAATTCTCGTACTGGAAGGTAAAGCCTCATCCTGTTCCTGTGGCATCATCAAAGCTGTGCTGCCTCGAGCTTYGGACAGCAGGGGACTGAGAAATGCCAGGCTGGAATCAAAAACTTAATYCCAGGCACAGCTCTCCCTTCCAGCCAGGTGCAAAGTGGTTCAGGAGACCAGGGWGTTAACACACAACTTCACTTTGCAGAGAGTGAAAATTTAAACCCCAGSATCCTGGTGGATCCTCTGGGAGTTTGGCTGCAGCAATCACAGGGGATTTTCGGGAGCTGCAGGAACTGGGGGTGGATTGCAGCTTGGGTTCAGGGCCYGAGTTCAGGGGCTGGTATTTCCTTGACATTTTCTCCCTTCCACTGAGATTTTGGTGATTTCAGAAACACTTCCATGGCTTTTCCTCTCAAGTGGTCTTGAGTCTGAGTGCTTAGAAACCTCCCCTGTTTGTCCCTTCCCCTACAGCACCCTAAGATTAGCCAGGGGCTCATTAGCAAGGCTAATGCAAGGCCCTTTGCGCTCCTACTCACACAGAGGAGTGATGCTGTGGGGGATTAGTTTTGGGACATTTCTTCTCAGCAGTGAGGTAAACAAATGTAAAGCCTGCTGGTCACTTTTTTTTTTTTTTTTTTTTTTTTTTTT